GTAATGCAATCTCAAGGTGGACTGCTTCCCAAAAAGAATGAAATGGCCATTTATGTACAAGAAGGAAAGATGATAAAGGAGGCAAAAGACACAAACACAAAAGCCTTCTCAATTAATACTGGGCTGATATGAAGCAAAACAAGCCGCTTTCACTTACTGTGCATAACAGATGCTTGAAAGCACCTTTAAAATATATGACAAGTCACCATGCTCGGATATTCGATTATTTAAAAAGTAAACATCAATGCAACATCAAAGGAACAGATGATTCAGTCATATAGTCAGTGTCACTGAGCTATATGCTAAACATCAATATGAATCATTCCACAGCTTGATCAAAAGACACATAAGCAAAGCATTATAGGGCTTGTGTCCAATAAAGCACCTCTGTTTCATCTCACTGCACTGTGCAGTGTAAAGCTGATAGGAGATGTTATTTATGATGGAAAAAAAACGAAAACATTTTAATATCACAGAGGATGAAAGGATCTTCACAATCAGTGTCTTAGAATAGAGATTTTTATGGAAAACATGTTTATTTCGGAAGGTCATGTATCTCAATTCACTTTTATGTTTCACTTTCAGAGCACAAATAACTCAATATTTGCCAAAACCTTAAGACAAACACAGCTTCTGATCTGTGAACTCTCCTCCCCTAAAAATACAAATTCTCCAAAAGATACCACATATACTGGCCAGATAACTAAGGCCTGGTTTCACAGACAGGGCTTAGATTGAGCCAGGGTTAGGCCTTAGTTAAATTAGGACATGTAAGTAGATTTTTTAAACATGCCTTAGAAAAAAACATTGCTAATGTACATATTTTAAGATTAAGCTCACACATGAATTTTTTCTAGGACAAGGCTTAAAGGATTAGTTCACCTCAAAATGAAAATTTCCTGATAATTTACTCACCCCAATGCCATCCAAGATGTTCATGTCTTTCTTTCTTCAGTGGAAAAGAAATTACGTTTTTTGTGCTGTTCTGCGACGCGCCAGGCATTACGTAATCACGTTGGAAAGGAGAAGGAGGATCGTTCAAATTTTATTGTTGAATTACATATTTATGTCTTTGTGTCAGTTTATTGTTTAAAATGGTCCTTTCGTGTGAGTATCCTGGATGTTTAAAACAATGGGGCGGTACTTACGCCTACGTCCAGCGTGACCTTTCCAACATGATTACGTAATGCCTGGCGCGTCGCAGACCAGCACAAGACGAACAATTGTGGTTAATGGCCGATCGTTTCGCTAGATAAGACACTATTCTTCAGCGGGGATCGTGCAGAGCCCTTTGAAACTGCATTGATTTGGACTTCAACAATTTGGTTACCGTTGAAGTCCATTGTGTGGAGAAAAATCCTGAAATGTTTTCCTCAAAAAACTTCATTTCTTTTCCACTGAAGAAAGAAAGACATCTTGGATGGCATTGGGGTGAGTAAATTATCAGGAAATTTTCATTTTGAGGTGAACTAATCCTTTAAGCCTTGTCTGTGAAACTGGGCATAAGATCATTAACACCAGTGTACCTGTGTGAGTAAAGCTTTACTTGAAATCACATTCTTCTGCATGGTATTTTTACACCATTCTGAAGTCAAAACCATCGGCACACTCCCATTACTCATCCTTAATGTATGCTATACTCTAGGGATACCAGCATGCCCCAAATTTGTGCACTACGCTAAGGGCACTACAGCACTGGCAAGAATTTGAATATTATTTCTGTAAGTACCGTACTAGAAAGTTTTAAAGCTCAATAAAAAAACAGATTGTCATTGGTGGGTAGTCAAATATACATAAATATTTATTTTATTTAAAAAATTATATTAATCATAATTTTTTTACTTTCTGTATCATATACTACCATTCAAAACTTTGAGGTCAGTAAGATTTTATTTTTGTAAGGATACATTAAATTGATCAAAAGTGACAGTAAAGGACTTTAATTGTTACAAAAAAGTCTTATTTCAAATAAATTCTGTTCTTTTTTACATTCTATTCAAAAAAGTATCATGGTTTTCACAAAACTAGCAGCACCACCATTTTCACCATTGATTATAATAAGAAATGTTACTTGAATAACAAATCAGCGTATTAGTATGATTTCTGAAGGATCATGTGACACTGAAGACTGGAATGATGCTGAAAATTCAGCTTTGACATCACAGGAATAAATTACATTTTAAAATATATTAAAATAGAAAACAGTGGTAGTGTTTATAAAGTGGAATACATGTAAATATCATTTCTGGGATTTTTCTGTGAATACGACTGGCTGACTGAACTTGTATATGTATAGTGAGCAATAGATTTTAAATTGAGCTGAGCGAGAACATGCCTCTCTGACCCTTGTCCTCCTCTTCCCGGGCACATTGCCAGAGGTTATCACACACACACACACACACACACACTCAAAAACGGCAACAGGATCACATCAGAGCGAGTGGTAAACCAGACAGCAGCTTTGGGCCAAAACTGCTTACACTCACATTAGTAACACCATAAAAAAGGGCCTGCCCACACCCTTGCCATCTCACCACTACTGTATCTGTATTTTCGTTCAAAACTGTTTCTATTCCTATGCAAACAGAAGATAATTGTAGCAAAACATTCAGTATATCCCACTAAATTGTATGATATTTTCATGCGATTCATGTGAAAATACACTTAATATTCAGTACTGTAATATTATCGATTTGACTGCACTGACACTATCGGATGAGAGCAAAACTAAACTAAATTAAAGCGGGATAACTTAATTGAGCGGGATGACGACACCACTGTTTTCAGGAGCTACTTAATTACTGAATTGACAAATTTAGCAAAATCGACACTTATTGAACTGAATTAACATTGAACTGACTTGAGCCAAATAATGATACTATTGTCTACTGTAGAGATGTTTATTGTTGTATTGAACTAATTTCATAAATTGTGAACTTTACACTGAACTGATTTGAGCTGAATAGCGACACACAATATTGTCTTCTGTAGAGCAGAACAGAACAGAATTTCTCTTGTTTGATGAAGTCTGCATCAATGATTGTTATTCTCCTGTTTATTATACTGTGAGGCCGCTTTAAAACAACCTGTATTATAATAAAGGTGACTTGACTTGATTTGACTTGATTATCAAAGCTGTTATTATAAACAGACTTAATATTATTTTGCTAAAATCTCCCAACCCTCACCTGGGGTTTTCTTTCCATCTACGTATGTCTCACTATCCAGTTTTTGAAGAAGATCAATCTATAAATGTTGTACTCATGCATAAATATCAACTCAGCATGCTCCTGCAAACAGTGTTTGTCCTTCAGCATAGAACCGTAACTATGAGGGATCTGAAAGGAGGGGCGGGGCAGCGAGTGTGTGTGGGTGTGTGTGCGTGTGTAAGAGCAGGTTGCCTGGACAAGAGAGCAGCAGGAGACTATTGTGGAGACTGAATCACCAACTGGGATCACACTCAGGAATTATGCACCTTCATAAGCACTCAAACTCCCTCTCATTCTGACTCCCTCTCTTCCCTACCACTCATAAACTGTCTCTCTACCCCTCAATATTATGGTTCCTTTCAGAGTCCCAAAAGACATTTCAGACACTTTGAACTATACGCACAAAGATGAGCAGCGTAATCATTCATTTTCATTTAAGCTGTATGTTGCTTTGCTCTTAATTATGAAAAAGTTTATATAAACATATTTTAGAATGTGCACATTATTTTCTAATCCAAATGGTTTTATTGATTTGTTCAGGGGAGTGGACCAGCTATTGTTCTCTGGACAAAATCCTCATCTTTTACAGCAGCAGCAGCAACATGATGCTTGATTTCCAGCTTGAGGCTTGAATTTGATGCTTGATTTACCATTATCATGATAAGCTCTGCAAATCAACCAGAACTGAAGGACAGGACAGCATTATGTTTATATTCCACAATTAGAATCTCACCCTCTAATCATGATTTTATGTGTCAGTTACTAAAAAGAAGATTTAGACCACGATAGAATACAAAATTCCCTGTACAAACAGAGGAATTAATCAGACTTCACTGGCTACTGACCAAGCAGGTCTGCTTCTAATTGTAAACAACACAAAATATGAATGACAATGATATCTCTCAATATAGGCTGACATTTCCATGGACATCAAGATTCACATAAGGGCTGTATGAAGAAAATTTAATCTTGGGTGAGCCTTTCTTTTCAGCTTTTTACTACTCTAAATCACCAAAAAAAAATCATATTAATTGATTATTAGTAATTTAATATTTATTATTTAAAAATATTATTTTAAAATAATGAATTAGTAAACTGCTTAAACATTTAAAACAAATCAAAATATTACTACCCATATACAGTAGACAGACAGATATATATATATATATATATATATAGATAGATAGATAGATAGATAGATAGATAGATAGATAGATAGATAACAGATAGATAGATAGATAGATAGATAGATAGATAGATAGATAGATAGATAGATAGATAGATAGATAGATAGATAGATAGATAGATAGATAGATAGATAGAAGCTATTAATATAAAACTTAACTGGGACTAATAACGTTAGTCATTTTACAGTAACGTTACATATTTGTCACGAACTTTTTAAAGGACTTGCCACTTTTTCTTTACAATATTTTCCGTCGTGTTAATTATGGTCATTAATGAGAAAATGAATAGTCACCGCAAATAAGCTCTCAAACGAAAAGGAGTTATACAAAAATAAAATAAAAAAGAAACAAACTGACGGCCCTTCAGTTCGCGCCATTTCCATCTCCTTTAATGTAACAACGATTTTAATTTTTGAAAGACGGCGGAGAAGGAGGACTTTAAAAGAACGACTATCATCATTTACGTGATTGTGGCAGCGGGTTTGATGTTGCACCGAAAGGATGAAATCCTATATCCTTCACGAGCGTATCACTTGATTCCGCATCAACACGCTGCAGTTAACATTCCGATGAGGCGAAAAGATAACACAGAAAACCAGCCTACCTGCATAACATTTGGTGCCGTGATGTATATATATAGAAGTCCTGTGTTTTCAGAGGTACAGAGAGAGTGTGCACCGCAGCGACACCGCATCCCGGAGACTGAGGAGAACAGAAACCTGAAGAGCAGATGTAGAGAACAGCAGGGGGCGCTCCACTGCAGCGCTGGCCTAAATCACCACATATAAACCCCACCCGAGAGAGAGAGAGAGAGAGAGAGAGAGAGAGAGAGAGAGAGAGAGAGAGAGAGAGAGAGAGAGAGAGAGAGAGAGAGAGAGAGAGAGAGAGAGAGAGAGAGATTGTAGCTTTCATTGTGTGTGGAATTCATCTCGAAAATGATGCTATCGTTTTAATTTATTTTAAATCAATTCTTTATCAGCTGAGCAAACTAACAATCAGCGTGGAAAAAGTGCGAATCGAAGCCTTATTCTTATCCTTTCTAATATGTCATTATCAATTATTAGTAATTAGCCTCCATGTAAATGTTTACAAATTCACTATACACTGTCCTTGATGAATCGGTGTGTCATTTCCCCAAAGCCATTTTAAGGCCTTCTTTTAATGGATAATGTAGCTCAAATGATGCATCTGTCTCACTGTAGTACGATGAGATTCTTCATATCTGACATTACATAAGAGAGATTTACGCTGTTTCCATGAAGCACATAATCTTCCTGATGCTGTTGGATGTAGCCTACATGCAAGTTACATGTTAGATCATAATGCAAATGAGGACACATTAGCTAATGCCTTGCTGTAAGACAGTAAATAACAATAAAAAAAACGAAATCGATACTACATTAGCTCAGAAAATGAGATACTTAATTGCCATCTCTTGTAAGTGGTGTTCTGAGACAGGCAACATGAGAGAGAGTGTGTTTCTCAAATCTAAGGCAATAAACAGCTTTAATGCCCCAGATAAAACTGGACATGTGGTTTGAATATTTGCAATTAGGATGAGCTGCCTTTGGGACACTGAAAACAACAAATACCATGCAGCTACTCTTGCGTCATGATTAATCCAGGCAGATGTTTTCACATTATGACAAGCAAATGCAAGCTTCTATAATATTATTGGGACGCATGATAGCCCTTGTTCCGATGAAGAAATCCTCTCCCCTAAAACACTTAAACTATCACTCTTTGTTGATTTCATGCTTTTCTTCATGTTTGATTCAGAGCAATATTTGTGTTACCCGATTAAAGATGTTGCTTATAGTTATTTTTCACCACTGTGCATAAAAGCAAACATTTCAAAATCTAGCATGTGCAAAATGGTTAGATATTCAAAAGGTCTGGGACAGGCTGAGTGTGAATATCCCTGGAAAGCGTTCTGCTTTTTCAGACTGCCCAATAAATTGAAATGTCAAAAACAGCTTAAAACAGCAAAAAAGACCCTTTTTATTCTAACAGTGTTAAAGCAGGAACCTTCAAACAGGACCTTTAGAGACCACACATTGAGAAAACCACAAGCCCACAAACTAATCCCGCTCCTCTAAGAAAAGGCAGATTTAAGGCACAAGAACAAAAACAACTTTCTATTTGGCGGCGGGTTGACGACAGTGGAGAGATGGATATGAGCCAACTTGTCTTCCAAATACATGGTTGTCGGACAAAAAAACAAAGCTTCAATCTGTCTGTTCCATTTAGATCCAATGAGAAGCTTATGAGGGTTTCAATTCACAATTCATAAACATGGCAAAACTTATCTACCATTTTATTATAGCATTTCCATGAATTTAATTGAGCTTATTTCAGCTTCTATTGTTTTAATAGTAGATACAGAGTTAATTTATTATTTTAAATTTGCAATCACTTTAAAAAAAAACCTAGTGCACCCCATAAATATAAATACAATACACATTTTGAATTTGTAATTTTGTAAAAGGTTAAAGGATCCTTTCAAACTAACTTAAATTAATCATTTATTCAAGTCATTAAAGAAAATCATTACTTAAGAAAAACAAAAAGCCTAAAGTCATGAATATCAAACACTCCATTGCAATGATCCTATTTCTTAAGTGTCAAAACCGAACAAAGTCACCGTTTACAAGATAAAACTCTCATGTGTAAAATCTAGGCTTGCTCTATCTCCACAAGAACCCCATCACAGTCTTTAGGGTGGAGGAACATCACAGGTTTGCCATGAGCTCCTATCCGTGGCTCTGGGGAGAGCAGTCGGATTTTCTTTTCCTTCAAATCAACTATTGCTGCATTGATGTCATCCACCTGCAATCAAACAGGCAACACATAAATGATGGATAAGTTTAACATTTATGATAAGTCCTTACTGTATTCTGTCCACTAATAAACTGATTACTCTCTGATAGCATGAAGACACCTACAATAAGATTGTACAAAAAAATGTAGTTTCTGAATTTTCATCATTATCCCATCTAATGTTACTTTTATATGGGAAAATTGTAAATGGAATGAACATTATAAAGTAGTATTAAATATCATATTCTGGTGTTTCATATTCATCATTCTAAAAGCTATTTTAAAATATGAACTGCATATGTAATGATATTTTTAGTCGCTTTTAGTTTTGTCCATTTACTTTTTTTAAATAAAATATATTATTTAAAAAAATTAATTATCTTAATGAATATTGTGATTGTGCCTTTTGTGATACATGACACCTATGTGATTTTAGTTTAGTTTATGTGAGTGTTATGTAACTTTTTTTGTCCATCTATACATTTGTAAATTTTGTATAATTAAAAAATAATATATTGCATAAATAAAATAAATACGTAAATATTGTGAGAGAAGCAAAAGATAAATTTGACTATGTAAGCCAGTTGTTCTCAACCTCAACTTAATTAAAATGCTAAAACACACACACGTTTGTTTCACTAGGCCTATATTAGTGAGGGCATTGCATAGACTTCCATTGCTTTTATATCTGGTTAATTATATTTTCTATCGCCTAACCCAACCCCTACCCCTAAACATAACCCTCAGAAACATGTGCGAAACACTAGATTTACAAAAAAACAATGTTTTGGCCTTTTTAACTAGTGATGACCAGTAACATTATTTCTAGTCATTGTCATTATATTACATTATACAAGTGTACCCAAATCTGTGTGTACACACACACACACACACACACATTAACTATTATCTTTCTTGAAAAACATACTAAATCTAAATCTTAAAGAAACACCAAACATTTAATATATAATGTTTTATAGGATTTATAATTTGATATCAATCAATAACGCTAGCAACAGAAATATCAGAGGAAACATCTTAGGCAAAATGGGGGACCTTTAAATATTGGGTATTGAGTTTTTTAGTCAAAAATGTTGACAACCACTGATCTAACCTAATCTAATGTTTACCTCAATACAGATATGATGCATCCCTCCAGCTTTATTCTTCTGCAGGAATCCTGCAATGGGGCTTTTTTCTCCCAGAGGGTGTAGAAGCTCTAACTTTGTGTTTCCCAGTTCCACAAACACGGTGTACACTCCATGTTCAGGGAGAGGCACCGTGGCGCTCACCTGAGCCCCCAGCACATCGCGGTACAGCGCTGTGGCTTTCTCTAGGTCTGGGACTGCGATAGCCACGTGATTCAGCCTGCCTAACTTCCACAAGGACCGAGGGACACCTTGACTGACGGGAACTGTCAGAGACAATGCCCTCACTGAGGGGACACTGTGCCGAGCACATCTCGAGAGACCTGTCACTGCAAGTCAAATGAGATTGCAATATGGATGCAATAAATATAGAACGATAATTACAACAAAAGTAGTCTATGATGGATTTTAATAACGACAGTTCTCAAAAAGTAAGATACAGACAACTGCAGGTAGAATAAAACAGATCTAAATGTTAAAAACATTCAAACAAATTACATAACGTTAAAACAAACCCAGTTTACTACTACTTTAAGTTACTTACCTGCAACCTTTAATAAAGAGGAAGCCATCTTTGCGGTCATTGAAAACAAACAAAACTTTATTTAAACAGCTCGAAGCACGCATTCATTTACGTGTTCTGGTAATAGACGCATGATTTACCCATATAAATATTTTCATAATATTTTACTTTTAAAATCATGATTACGCTTTACCACAAACAGTAAATTCTCAAAATTAAGAAACATTGCAGTTATGTGGAACCTTCTATGTGGAACGCAATACAGTGTATAATGTGTCCGGGGGTTGTATTTACCAAGCGCACTCGGAGACCCATGTGAGAGCTGAGATGGCGAACGGGGATGGCAGCACGCTGGAAAGCTGTTTACAGCGTTTAAGCAGCAACACAGTTCACCCGGAGTTATTTCTCAGGTTGGATGCACGTTGAAAGAATGAAATATTTCGTTGAATGGGTTGTTCATCCGAGTTAGTACGTGTTCTAAAGTTAAACGAGCCGAAACTGGTATCGGGCCACCCATGTGCAAAACTCTCACGTTGTGGTTGCGCGTATATGTTAAGTGAAAATGTGGCTCGTACAGTTTAACATGTCTCTTTTCATGTCATTTTTTCATGGTAGTTTTATTTTTAAACTGTAAATAGATCATTAGTATCGTAATATGTTATTACGGTGATATAAAACAGTAGATGGGTTCTGGAAAGAATGATTGACATTTCTCTTTTATGCTCTTAATCTTTATTCAGTGTACAGGATGCTTTGGCAACAGACTTCACATCACTTACCAAGACTCTTTATGATCTGCATAAAGTCCACGAGCCTGCATACGGCAAAGGCAGTCCACTGGTGCAGCTGGCCATCGAAAACTTTGATGAGGAGCAAATCTGGCAGGAGCTGGAGCTTCAGAACACTGCATTACTGACACAGTTTGAGAAGTCAGTTGAGCAAGCTGTTGCAGATGACACGATAACATTTTTTGAAGATACGGAGGAGGAGGAGGATGGGGAAGTGGATAATGGTTTGGAAGAAGAGATTGAGGGTGAAGATGATGATGATAAACTTGAGGATGATGATAAAGATGAAGAGGAGAAAATTGAGCAGAGGCTGAAGCCATCGGCAAGCAACGAGGAAGACGACTTCTCTGGCGAAGACTCAGATTTGGACTTTGATGTAGATAAATTTGAGAAACAAACCAAACAGAGACAGTCCGTTACCAAATTATCAAAATCTAATGGGACTCCATCAGAAGTGGATGACAGGTTTTTCAAACTGTCTGAAATGGAAGCTTTTCTGGATAACATGGATAAAAGAGAGGGAAAGGAGAGCGTAGATGAGGACATAGACTACTTTCAGAATTTGCCATCTGATGAAGAGGAGGAACTAAGGTTTGATAAACCAGTCAAATTGAAACAACAGAAAAAGGTGATGGTGTAATAGGGTTTTTGAACATAAATTTAAAGTAACATGTCATGAAACTCACAATGTCTTTAATTTTACAGAAGAAAAGCTCCAGAGATATGAAGTACAAAGATTTCTTTGCTCCAGTGGATGGAGAGTCTGAACAGAGAGATCCGGATGAAGAGAATGAACCAGAATCTAATGATGATTATGAGGGAGAAGATGAGGAGGATGAAGAGGATATGAATGAGGAGGATTTTGAAATGGAAGAGTAAGTCATGACTGCTGTCTTTGTTGTGTGTTAACGGAATATAGTGATACAGCATTTTCTTTCGGAGATCCAATGCTTTCCCCTTCTTCATTTAGGGATGACATGGATGATAGAGCAAGAGATGCTTTACGCAAGGTGACCTTTGACCTTCCTGATGAGAGTGAGGGGGAGGAAGTGGAAGACATTCTGGGTGGAAAAGCAAAAAATCTGCTTAAACCTGAGGTCAAGTCATCCTTTGAAAAGCGACAGGAAAAGGTTTGTCTTTAAAATGACCTTTCCAGTAGCACTCAAACAATGGATTTGTTAGTGTTTTAGTTGTGGTGTGTCCAAACATGATCATGGAGGGCAAACTAAAATTTGCAGGACAGTGGCAGGCCAATCTGTGAGCAGGATTGGACACCCATGTTTTAGTAGGATTTATTCAATATACTTGTTATTATTAATATTTTGATTTGGTTTTTGATTTATTATTTTTAGTTTTCAAATATTTTATATATTCAAATTTTGTTTTATATATATAAATAGGTTTATAAGGTTTAATTCAGTTTTAGTATTTATTTTTTCAAGTTAATAAGTTAAACTTATTTCAGTTAGTTGCTAAGGCAATATAAAAAAATAAAAAAAAACTTATTCAGCAATAATAACCCTGGTTTGATATGAATTGAAACAGATGCAAAAACATATTGAAGAGCTGGAGAATGCTGCGTTGTCAGAGAAGCCTTGGCAGCTGTCGGGAGAGGTGAGCGCTCAGACTCGACCGGAGAACAGCATGCTGGAAGAGGATGTGGCGTTTGACCAGGCCTCTAGGATGGGTGAGAGTTTCATGCTGATTTCCATTGCAATAGGCTTATTAGGCTATAGGCTTATTCTTTATAGATTTGTTCATTACTTTGTTTTTCTCCTTCGCAGCTCCTGCAATCACAGAGGAAACTACCTTACAGATTGAGGATATAATTAAACAGAGAATTAAAGATCAGGTTTGTTTAGACTTCCATGTTTATGTAGAGGGGCTTATTTTTTGAATGCGAACAAAGTAAATGAATTTATAAATCCAATGAACAATGTTCTGCTTGTTTCATGCATTTAATGTACGCCATGTTTTTGTCACACAGTATCTGAATAAAGGGTTGCTGAGCTCTTTGTGTTTGATTTGTTGTGTGTCAGGTGTGGGATGATGTGGTAAGGAAAGAGAAGCCCAAAGAGGAGGTGTTTGAATATAAGAAGAGACTCACTCTGGACCACGAGAAGAGCAAACTGAGTCTGGCTGAGGTTTATGAGCAGGAGTATATCAAACAGACACAGGTGAGTCCTTTCCACTGTGTCTCTCTTCCATGTCCTGCCCATACTTGTGTTTGTATGGTTACAACTGAAATTGTGTTTTGAGTTTTATATTTATATTTATATATATCATTTAAAGGGGACCTATTATGCCCCTTTTCACAAGATCTAAATAAGTCTCTGATGTCCCCAGAGTGTGTATGTGAAGTTTTAGCTCAAAATACCCCACAGATAATTTTTTACAGCATGTTTAAATCGTCACTTTTTGGGCTGAGAAAAACACACCGTTTTAGTGTGTCTCCTTTAAATGCTAATGAGCTGCTGGTTCACGGCACAGGGGGCGGAGCCTAACCAGCTCGCGCTCAGTGAACAATCTCAACTCACGGAAAGATGATAATATCAAAACAGAAACTCACAGTAACGGTGTTCATTTCGACTCGGACAATAATGCCCACAAAATCAGAGAATATATGCTGTATGGAGTTGGAACAGGTATAGTTTAGTTTAATTACGGTTATAACCTATGTGTCATTGATTGTAGCCACTAATACAAGCCTGCTGTAGGACCATGTCTGAATGATGACACAAAATATACTGATGAGTTTAATAAAGTTTATTGTATGTCACACAAAAGATGAAGCGTCAGTTTTACTCCAGAAAATCACTGTAAGAGCTGAGTAAACACAGTATAAGAAGTGCGTAGGTACATAAACAAATTTCGGTAGAGTTGAGGGAGCATTTTTCAAAGACAAAATGAACCCACCTCGTCTTCAGCGGCTGGCTCAGATTTCAGGAGTAAATAGAGAGAGCTATGTGAATGAATACATCCAGCCACAAAACCTTCAACGCTTGGGAGACATTCTCATTAGTGCAGCAATGGCGGATGTGGTGAACTCGATCAGGGCGGGTCTAAGTTAAAACGGCAATGTCTTTCGACACTCGTGGGCGGGGCCTGTGGCTTTAGTGACTTCACTAAAGCCGCATTCTGAAAACAGGTCGTTGGGAGACACTGCTTATGATTTATGGGGATTTAAAAAAAAAGGAGTGAGTGGATTTTTATCACTGTAGGGTGGTTGTGTACACACACTGCCAAGACACATTTATGTCCAAACACCTTACAAAAGTGAATTTTGCATAATAGGTCCCCTTTAATAAGAATAGTAATATTTGTCAATTTTATTACTGATTTGCTGCTCTAGAAACATTTATTTTTATTATCAAATGTTAAAAACAGTTGTGCTGCTTAATATTTATTAAAATGTAATAATTTAACTTTAAGCATTTATTTGAAATAAAAATCTTTTGTAACATTGTAAATGGCTTTACTATCACTTTTTAAATAAATCTTTGCTGATTTTTTTTTGATTAATTGATTGGCCTCAGGACAAGAAGGAAGAGGAAGAGAACCCAGCGCATGTAGAAATCCAGAAACTTATGGACACCCTTTTCCTCAAACTGGATGCTCTATCAAACTTCCACTTCACACCAAAACCAGTGAGTAAAACATCTTTTGCGGCTCGAGCCAGCTATAGTGTATTCCTGCATGTGTGAAATGTGAAAAAAGCATGTTCATACGAGTCATTCTTTATTAAAGAAGTGTTGTTCTTTTTCTGTTTAGCATGTTCCTGAGGTGAAAGTCGTTTCCAACTTGCCTTCTATTTCTATGGAGGAAGTGGCTCCAGTCAATGCCAGTGACGCCACACTGCTGGCTCCAGAGGAGATTAAGGTTTGTGCGGTCTGCTCGCATCTCTTCCCGTTTATCCTGTTAAGAAAGAGTTTGCTTTGTAGTGTTTTTGTGAAACATTTTCACAAGTCAGATTTGAAAATCTCCATGAGGTGTCAATGCATTTCATTTTCTTATCTCAGGAGAAGAATAAGGCAGGAGACATACTTGGAAACACAGAGAAAACCACTACCGATAAGAAACGAGAAAGACGAAAGAAGAAGAAACTGAAGCGTCTGAAGATTCATGAGCAGGAGAAGAGACAAAAACTCAAAGAGGTGATGAAAGGCAACAAAAAGAAGAGTAAAGCTGAAGTTGAAAAGACTCTCAAGAATCTTACTAAAGGAGGAAAAGCGAAAATACTCACGGTCAGTGACTGAAGTCTAATGTAGTATTAATATATGCAATTATACTATTATGGTTTGTGTATATTTTCTAACTATTGTGGTTTTACGTGTATATCTTCTAACTCTTCCTGTATTTTCCAACAGAATGATGGCATGGATAAGGCCCTGCGTTCCTCTCAAGCTTTCTTCACCCAACTACAAGACCAAGTCAAGAGCCAAATCAAGGGCTCAAAGGACCAGACAGCAAAGAAGAAGAAACAAAAAGAGATTTCTGTAAGCAAGCTGAAGTTGTAATGTTATAACCTGTGTCAAAAACAATATGTACAGTTATTTGTTTTTTGAGAAATCTAATTGACCTTATATACTGTCATTTTTATTCAAATACAGATTTCTTTTTCCTGTATATTTGTGTCCTGGAGTTTTTTTTCCAGTCTATTTTTGGACTATATTTAAACACTCTCACTATTAACTCTTAAAACATACTGCAAATATTGCTCTTAGAATAAATGGCTTGTATTTCTTACAGAGAACAAGGACTATATTCATAGAAAAATCTTTCAATAAAATCATTGATATATGATGTCAAATGTATATTTAATTTTTGGCCATTTTTCATGGATCCATAAAAGTTCCCATTAATCACATTAACAAATGAACATGTTCTATGGCGTTTTAAAACCAAATATATGCTTGTGCTATATTTATTTTTAAATAAGTTTTGACATTTTGATACATAATGCAGGCATATGCATTTATTTCTTATATATAAAATACTACCTGTGTGTGTCCACTGTATATCTTTCAATAAATAAGTCAAATGCATCATCCAAAAGCTATGGGGAAAAAAGTATATCATTTATATTTATTCATTGTCATTTTATGATTCACTTGAGCATAGTGCCTTCTAAATGAATAAATGTATACTCATGTTCAGTTAAGCATAGCAGTAAGTGGTCAGAAGAGGGCAGTACTATTGAGTGAAGTGCTCTGTAATGTTTTCCTTACTCGTTTCGGATACAGCTTGTTTAACCTGAACTCATGTTCTGAGAGCATAAACAAATGGAATTTAAAGACTGATTTTGCTGATGTCTAAACTCTTAAAACTATTAGAAAGTCATATTTAATGTGCTGAAGAACAAAAAAGGCAGATATTAAGTCAAGTGTGGCAATTCCTTTTATTTGCATGAAAATCTGAAGAGCCCTATTTTGCATATTGCCACAAAACAAGGCTCCCCTGAGTTCACAAACAACAACTAAAATAACCACTTTATTGAGTCTCCACAAAGACAAAACTGTCCAACCACTGATATCTTTAACAACTTCCACACAAAGCTTTGGAATTAGTCAGCGTTGTTCCACTTGCACACCAGAGGGGAAACTCCTGTGATGTGTTTTGAAGCATTTTTTTCATATCCAGAGTAAAAATAGAAAGAACAGGTACACTGCAATTCAGGGCCCACAACAAGGCACAGAGGATTTGTACAATATCCCTGTTTAAGTTTCTTTGCATAACTGAATAAATATCAGTGCTGTTTGACAAATCAAACCGTGCCATTAAAGCAAACAGTTTTCATACTCTTGACAGCATTAGTGGTAAACTACACAAATACTGTGCATTACTTCAGACTAGTTAAAGGGCATCAGGGGAAAATGTAAGTACCAGTTCTAGCAAAAAAAAAAGAAAAAAAAAAATATAAATTTAAAGCTTTACAAAAAAAGTCCCCAACCATAATTAAAAGAACAAATCTAAAATTAAAGAGGCTACATATCAAACCAAGACCAAGGTTACTGTTGCACTGAAAAAAAATAAGCAAAAGTTCACAGGTGCTTTAGCACAACTTTCTCAAATTATAATTATACTGGGATGCTGTTTAAGACACTGACTACACGACTACTTGTCAAATCAACCAGCTGATTGGCTCGAGCAGCTGTCAGTCACTTAAACAGCCATTGTGTGCTTCAGAAAGCGCAATGTCTGACAGACAGGGATCCAGCCAGCCTGAGAGACACCCATATTGTGCACAGTTATTGCCTGCTATTGGGGTTTATGCTGATAAACCCTGTCCATTCCTATATCAAGATTCACAATTTTGGTTATTAATTTTAATAAAGCTAACTACAGTTAGACCTTACCAGAAGGTTTCAAGAAATCTTAAACTATTTTAAGATTAAAAGATAAAATATACGTATATTTTATACCATCGATTTAAGTTATAGTTCTACGATAACACTTATAATAAGGTTCAATTCGTTAACGTCAATTAATGCATTAGGTATGGAGACTCAGCATTTATTAAGCCTGGTTAATGTTAATTCAACATATACTGTACTAACACATTTTTAAGTAGACATTAACATTCACTAATGTAGTATGAATACATGAATTAGCAAACAATAGTTTGGGGTCAGTAAGATTTTTTATTTTGTAAAGAAATTTATACTTCAGAAATCAGTATATTAGAATGATGTCTGAAGGATCATGTGACACGGAAGACTGAAGTAATGTTGCTGAAAACTGAGCTTTGCCATCACAGGAATAAATAATACTTTAAAATAGAAAACAGTTATTTTAAATTGTAATAATATGTCATAGTATTTTTGATTTAAAAAAAACGCAACCCCAAACGTTTGAATGGTCGTATGTGTTCATATGAACCTTTGATATGTGCTATAAAAATTATATTGTCAGTTCACGATACCTAATGCGCATTAAGTCATGTTAACAAATTGAACTTTAATATAAAGTGTTACAAGTTCCACGTCCTTTCCAATTAATGCCACAAGCTCCACACAAAGTATTTTAAGTTCAAAACAAGGAGAAAAGTCCATACAGGCAGTGTAGAACAGATCCAAACAATCCTAAGTCAGAAAGATGTGCGATTGGAGCTTTATATTTAATCATGTGCAAAAAACCCACACCGACTGACAACTCTCAACAGACAGGTAACTGTCGGTACCACAAGCCTGCACATTCAAAATGAGAGCTAAATACAAGTGAGAAGATCTTCAAGCCTTAGATCTTCATGTTTGCCTGACCTCACAGTCCTATCCCAGCAGTGTGCCCTCAAATCGTCTCATTAGCCAGTGTCTCCGTAGAGAGCCATATCTTGGCTCCATTGAGGAACTTGCTAAGAGGAGTCCCCAGGATGCCTGGGCGGCACAGGTTACCCATAGGAGAGAAGGGGAACGAGGAGCTGAGGTACTCTGGAGGAACAGGGGACTGGTGAGGAGTCGAAGTCACCTTAAAGTACATTTTGCTGTGCTCTGTGTGTGGGTTGTTGGGAGTACAGCCTGCTCCATTGTACTGCCTCAACTGGCTCTGGAGCATTTCAATCTCATCTGTGAGCAATGAGAGCTTGTGGAAGGCGGTGATGGGTCCGCCCTGCGGGATCTGTGCCTCGGGAACCCAGCGGAGGAAGTAGAGCTTCCAGACAGAGAGGTGAGATGGGAGGAGCTGGGGCAGCAACAGGCCCTGCAGGTCAACAGGACGAGAGAACCAGTCCCGAATGAAGCGCTCCGATGGGGTTTCCTGCTGCTCCCGCACCTGAGACAAATCAGACCGGAGACGCAGCATGAGGGAGTTCCGGCGTGTCAGGGTGTCGTTCGGTCCGAGCGATCCATTTCGCATAGCGGAGGGCAGACCCCGCACCGTGGAACTGTAGTTTTTCTGAGGGAGAAGCAAAAAAGATGTTTGCATTTTTTTACCTTTAGCCTTTTAAAAAAAGAATTTGTGTTCTGTTGTGGATTGATTTCAACTTGAAGTTTAAATTGTCAGCACACTGGCTTACAGACTAGTAGAGATAGAGAGTTCACCTTGCTGCGCCTGTGTGTGAATGTCTTCACTGTGCCGTTTTGCACACAGGTGGCGATCTTTCCCACGTACAGGGGATTGTTAAAAAGAGTCTGGTCTTTAAGACTAAATTGTTGGGACCAGTCCCACACTGAAGGAAAGCGCAGAGCCTGGTCCTGCCCCAGGTGAATACTCTTACTGCTCGCAAAATCCTGAAGAGATGAGAGAGAAAGAGGCAGACAGACATAGAAGGGTAGACATCAGCTCAAAGAGGTCAAAAAAGTGAAAGAAAATAGTATTAAAGGAGAACTCCGGTGCAAAATGAACCTCGGGTGTAATAACACATTGGTACAGACTAAATCGTTCCCTGAGATTTGTTTTCATGATAATCGAATGTAAAGAGTTTTATCTCTAAAAACAGTTTAGCTTATAACGCTAGTATATTGGCATAGAGTAAGCAAAAAGAGATCGCTAGTTAATACCACTAACAAGGCTCAAATTAGCCCCACACTAACACGGCAGCATAATGAGTGTCCTTACATGCAAACCGAAGCATTGAGAACTTTGTAAGTGTATAGACAGTTTAATAAGAAGATACTTTACACAGACAGTACAGTTAGCACATACAGACAGGAGCCATCTTGGAAAACAGTCTCGACCAATCAAACCACGAGGGAGAGCGAACAGTATGTGTAGATATTGAAGATAAGATAAATTATATTTATTTTTTTATTTTCTCTGTTGCGTTCAGTGCTTCTCTTATGCGCTCAGTGCTTTCTTCCGGAAACAACGGACCATATGAGATTCCAAGTCACAGTTCAGCTCACGTATCACCGTGTTCGTGGTTTGACTGATCGAGACTGTTTTACAAGATGGCTCCTGTCTGTATGTGCTAACTGTACTGTCTGTGTAAAGTATCTTCTTATTAAACTGTCTATACATTTACGAAGTTCTCAATGCTTCGGTTTGCATGTAAGGACACTCATTATGCTGCCGTGTTAGTGTGGGGCTAATTTGAGCCTTGTTAATGGTATTAACTAGCGATCTCTTTTTGCTTACGCTATGCCCAATATACTAGCGTTATAAGCTAAACTGTTTTTAGAGATAAAACTCTTTACATTCGATTATCACGAAAACAAATCTCAGGGAACGATTTAGTCTGTACCAATGTGTTATTACACCCGAGGTTCATTTTGCGCCGGAGTTCTCCTTTAATATTGATTTCTTGATATTAAATATAAACTCATTGTAAAATAGCTGATATTCAGTTTAGCTGTTAGTTGGTGGAATTGTTGACAGTACATGCTTATGCATAAAATGAATTCATATATTTAAAAGAAAAATATAATAAAAAAACAATACTTCATTTGTCATGTTTTATATAGCTGGAGATCAAGAATTAATGCATGCTTTATTAGTTTATTACATAATATATATATATACATACAGTATATGAAATATAAAAATGTTATATATTACTAAGATTAATATTTAATGTCTTACAGTTTTCCAAGTGAGACACAGGTGATAGTGGCAGTGCAAGAACTCCCTGAGATGTTAATAAACTAATCAAGCATGCATTAATGCTTTTTAAATGGTATAAATGTGTGTAT